AAAATTTATACAGCGTGATTTTTGTTTGTCGAGAGACTGAGCTCTGCTTTTAAATTACCTAATGTGACACACTGTACGAGCTTGGACATAGTTAAGTCCATAAAAATACAATACTGCGCTTGTTTCGGCATGCTGTACGCATGTATCTATTAGGAGATTCCGGTGAAAAATCCTTAGATTCGGCACCCGTCGATGGACAACGAAAGAAAGGGTGCCCTAGACCATAGGCGAATTAGTTCTTTTCGCGCCGCCAAAAGCACTGTGAAGATGTGGTCAATGGTGGATATTTTCACCACAGTATCGTTAAGCTGCCTAAAATATCGCGGTAGTTGATGCCCTAGCCCTTTTTTATCAATCTGAATGTACACTTGTGGTTCCAATTAGACCATGGGGCTTACCCGCTCTTCGTCGCTGGCCTCATCGCTGGCCTCATCGCTGGCTTAGTCACTTTTTTCGTCTTGGTTGAGTAGAGGGCAATTCAAAACCAGGATTTTCAGGCTTCACTCGAGCCTGCCAACTCCTCACGCTCTTCAGTCACCTCTTTTGGGTTTTTGTCAAATTTCGTCATTATAATTCTTTTCATGTGGCGCCAATTGGGCGATTTTAAACATCACTCAAGTAAAATACTAATCTTGGAGATGAATTACTGCAAGCAGGCATTTCTTCAAATGCTCTTTACTTACCTTATGGACATGTAAATGTTGTGCCATTGATTATAAATATACAGTGGTAAGCAAAACTGAGTGCATCGTAATTTTTGTTAAATAATTTCAAGGTTTTTAAAGTTGAATTTGTTTTTGTGTTTTTTTTTATGAAAGTAACCATATGAATCAAATTTTTAAACTTTATACAGAACTTAGAAAAATTCAACTTACTGTTTACCACTGTATTTGTATAAATATCCCAGTCACCGAAAATGACCGCCAAGAACGCCGTTTTTTTATTTTGACAACTTTGGGCAATCGTTTTTTTCATTAAAGAATAATCGATATAGTATGGCTTAAATTTTTTTTGGTCAAATTTAATCGTTAATTTTTGATTTTTTTTCAATGAAAAATAATCGTTTTTTAATTTTTTTCGATAATCTATGACCGTTTATGACCGTTTTAAAACTTTTATGATCTACAAAATTTAATCTGAAAACAACGGTACGATCATAATGTAAAAATAAAATTCATACTGTAAAAATTATTCATGATCGAAAATATATGTATATATCATAAAATAAAGGTTAAATTTGATCGGAAAACAGAGATGCAGTATTAAAGGTAATAACCGTTACCATCCCTAAAATATGCATACATGCATATGTATGTACTATAATCGTATATGTATGTATGTATATTTCCGAGTTCTCGGTTACTCTACTTTGCAAAAATTCTCTTTACATAAATTGAAGTGAACACTTTCACCAGAATGCTTATGCTTATGTGCACAGAATGTTCCATATAATCGACTAAAATGCAAAGTTTGCAATTTTTACACTTTTCCAAAGTTAATTTTTTTCGATAACACATATGAAAATATGTACGTAATGCTGACTTAACAAATTATGGGCCTCAAAGAATACAAAAACGAACAGAAATAAAAAGTGCAGTAGCAAGTGAAAAATTTCGAAAATTTCCATATACTATGTAGCATATTCGCATAAACACAAACAATTGAGCAAGTGAGCAATAAAGCCAATGCACAGTTAGCTCTAAGAATGAACCGAAGAAAGGCGACATTATGGTATTCACTCAACAACTTCACACGTTGAAAAATTGAAGTGGCTTTGAATCAATTTCTAAATGAAAGTTGAAGCTGTGCGCGCAAGGCTTGAAAGTACCGAGTGAAGTTCAACAATCAACTTCATTACACAAAATCATACGCGTGCTGGGATATGAAAAAAAAAATCATAATTGCAACTAAAAACTTTGCGCTGTTACAGAAGCTCTTCACATATAGAAAGTGAAAAAAAAGTTAATAAATCAATCGGATTTTATACAATTGAGCGATTGAAGTGATTTAATTGAAATTTGTGTCACAATTATTTATAAGTTTACGTGTTTTAAGTAAAATAAAAATAATATAATTTAAACATTTTATTGTAAACTTCCTCTAGAAGCTGTGCTCATACGCTTTGCATGTTAAAAATATTTAGCTTACGTCTACATGCAAACAAATAACGGTGAAGTGGCATTGCATTTTCAAGCTGTACCTATAGCAATTGATCGGATTCTATTTGTGCATGCCTCCTCAATCACTGTGCATATTTTGCACATGCAATTGATGATTTCTTTCAAATATTGCAAAACGACTTGAAAAAAATTATAAACTCGTAGGTTAAAAAAAACGAAGTGTGCAATAGTGAGTGCTTCATGATTCTACGCGGCAATAAGACAGCGCATTTAAATGCGATGCGCTCACTGCTGAGCTATATTTGCAGTCTTTGCTCCAAGACCGCCGACGCAGCAGCACAACAAGAACAACCGAAACAACAACAAACAACAACAAACAAGCAACTTGGCAATTATTATAAAAATACAAATATTTGGGTGGACGTTATCACCTGTCAGAAATGTGAGGAGTCCTTTGTGCTCTATACGAATTTGCCCGCTAAGTTGGTACAGGTGAAAATTTGGTCATTGGGTAAGAAACGATGGAAGTTAATTGCAAAAATATTCAGTTAGAGCATGTTCGCTCACGAAAGAATAACTCAAGCTTTGTTTTTTATAAAAAGTGAAATACTTACTATACATAAGTTCTGACCTCAGTGTAAAAGATATGTAGATATGAAATGAAATCCATGTTCGGCATTGCCATCATTAATGTCAGTATCCTCACGCATGTTAAGGCTTATCTGGCTTAATAGTGCTTAAAGCTTAATCACAAATATGCATACATACCTACATATGTATGTATAACGACTTAAGAGTGCCATTTATACGCATAAATATATATGTACATATGTAACTCCATTCATTCTAAGCCTCATAATCAATTGATAGCTTAATTGTGGCAAATTTCGACACACTTCACTCGGCTCAAGGCTAAGAGGGGTAGTCCTTGTGGTGAGTTTTAATCAGCGGCACAGTTTATTCGATTACGCAATCAACAGGGCAATAAAGCATTGTATTACATACGTACGTGCATATCGAATCATGCATAAGCGCAGGTGTATGTACATACATACATATGCACGGATGTGTGCAAGTTCACAACGTCACGCCATTCACGTTTACTATATATTAAGCAGGAATTCCCAAAGTTCCCAACGGCAAAGCATCGCCCATCTTAGTAAAGTCAGCTTTTTATATGCATCTAAATATGTACATATGTACATTAGCTTGGGCCGAAAATCCGCTTTTTTAGTATTTCGATTGGTCATAGCAAAAATTAGGTTCATTACGCTCTAAAAAGAAAAATCTGTGTGAAATGTGAAAATTTTTGGTCAATATCCTAGGCTCGCCCAAGTCAGTCAAAGTTCAAGTACTAAAAAATTTGTTTCTTAGCTAACTTCGATTCTCTACAAAAAAGCTCCATATACCAAATTATGGAGGACTAATAATTTCGAAGATTATTGCAATTTTAGTAAAAAAAAATGTATTAATAAATTTATTAATTAATTTTTATTTTTTGAGCATATTGAACTTTAATGGACTTGGGCGAGCCTAGGATATTGACTAAAAAATTCCAAATTTCACACAGATTTTTTTAAGCATAATGAACCATATTAATTCTAAAAAAGCGGATTTTCGGCCCACGCTAATGTACATACATACATACGTATGTCAATATGTACACACATATGTATGTATGTACATATATTTTATTTTGCAGTACGTACTAGACACTTAAGTATTTACGAGTACACATTGCACTTACATTACAGATTTTGTTGCCTTCAATTAACACTTTCCGTTTATTGTCCAGATATGTATTTGCTATGAATGCACATAAGTGTACATATGTATGTGCAATCGACTTGTGACAACATCCGTTCACACTTAACTCAGCTAAAAGCTATAAACCAGGCGAATGTGAATCGGGAATGGACAGCTGGCGTTGTTGCGAATTTGATTGGGTCTCAAGTCGAATGCCGAACTTAACCCTCTGAACAGAGAGTTAGTTCCATTTCATTCATAAAATTACTTTAAGTAATCAAATCAAATTTTTTATAGATAATTTTATAATAAAGCTTTTGGCTTTGCTGCGCCTTCAGAAACTTCTCTGCTTTTCAAAATAGTGGACACTCTGTCCATACTTACATATATTCAGTAAGCAAAAGCACATAAAGTGCCATAAAAATATACCCATAAAGGGCCAACTGCCTTATAGCCTACTTTTACCACTTTTTGATAAATTTCATGAATATTCTGAACTTTGGGACTTCGAGGCACGTTTTTCCATTATCCGGTTATCGGTGTAGCTAGAAATCCCTTAAAACCATTTTAGTCGTTATTTGACAAAGAGACATTTTAATACTTAAGATATTACGACGCTTAGTGGGAATCCTCTAAGTCTTTCTTCAACACAATGATACAATTGTTTTGGCATATAGCAGAAATTAACATTTTTATGAAGTTACTCGTGAAAATAGTCAATAATTTAAATTTAGTTTTATTTCCGTTTTCCCCGATATTATAATTAAAAATTGGAAAAACTCACAACACATTATAAAAAATAAGTTTTAAACTTCGGTAAAGTGCAGGGTTCAAGTCAATGCATTACGTGGCATTACTTGTGGTCCCCCGGGCCCCGTTTGACAACTACGCATTTTTTGTAGGTGTCACCATTACGGGTTAACACAAGGCTTATCCATTGGTATGTGCAAAAAATTTTTAAGCACTCTTAGTATCTAACTATTGAAATATGCAAAAAAAACGAAGAAAATCAGTCAAGTAATGCTATTCAATTTATCAGTAAAATACGAAATTGTGTACATAAATTAATTAATTTTACATTTGGTTGCTTTGTTTAACCTATTGTTCATAATCTTTTTCTTTATTTAATTTCAGATAGACTAGCTGTGATAATTATTGGAATAGTAACATTAATTTTAGGAATAATGCTATCAACAATACCATGGCTTGATTATTTTATATTAAAGGTAAGTCAGCAGCTCAATATATAGATTAATATACATACATACATTCTTAAATATCGATGCCAGATCAAGTAAAAATTACATGTTTTTATAATCGCGTCACATTTTAAAAGAAAAAACCTTCGAAACTAAACAAATCCTCCTAAATCTTTATGAACATTAAAAACTTCAAAGAATTCTACATACATATGCATGTATATATGACCAACTCCCAAGAGTTGTTTTTTTTAACCGACTTCCAAAAAAGGATGAGGTTATCAGTTGGTCGGAATATTTTTTTTGTTTCTTTTTTTATGTATGTAAAAGGAGGCGGTTATCAATTCGTCGGAATATTTTTTTTTTTATTTAATTTTTATGTGGTATGCTACCGTTTAACTTTGGACCACGTTAACCGGTTCCTATAATACTTTTTTTTAAAGGAAAGTTGGTACCAAAGAGGTGGAAGAGAAATTAACGATACTTTTAAATTTTTATATGAGAATTGAAGTCGGTTTTGTTTTTTGCCTAAAAATTACTTGTGCAAGTGTTTGTGTGTTCAAAGAAATCTTATTAGCTTATAACTGAATTAAGTGTTTGCAACTCAATCGATCGTCATCTATTTTTTTTTGAATTTTAATTGTATACCAAATTAATCAACGTTTAATATCATTTGTCTTATTACATTTACTTATAGAATTTAAGGCTATGGAATGATACGTTAAGTTTTCATTACTGGCAGAGGCCTGGTGTCATACGATTAACTAAAGTCTATATATATAATGTCACAAATCCAGATGAATTCCTGAATGGGGAAAAGCCGAGCTTAACGGAAGTGGGGCCATTCGTTTATAGGTAAGTTAACTACATACATACATATATAGTATATTTCTCAATTTTAGAAAACCGCGTTTTAATTTAATCCTATTGTCATGGGCCTTATATGTAGCGCATATGCCAATTGGGAAATAATTACCTAAAACTGCTTTTTAATGGCATTAAAATAAATAGTACGTAGTATTTGGATATTTATTTTCCTTCTAACTACATATATGTATATGTAAATAATATTAAATTCGTTATGAGAAAACCATCTTCTATTTCAAGTCAAATATATATGTTGCTTTTTTTTTTGTTAATGACTAAATTTTGTTTCGGCTTCTGTCGTCACGCTTCTCTGCCCAAACCCACCAAGCCATTCAATTGAACCAATTGCCTGAGAATAAGCAAAGCTCAAATGCCGGTTTGTCAATTTGGGTAAATGGCCAATCCTCTCTACCTAAATATTTCTGCTTTTTAGAGTGCCAGTTATTAAAATGCAATTATAAGCGAAATGACTATTGCGATTATTTTTCTTTTACATACATACATATGTACATGCATGCATTTTTCGCTGACTTTCTGCTTTCCGCTGAAACTTTTTGAAAATTTTAACAAATAAAAATATGCTCAGCTTGCATTATTGAAGAAGTTAATAGCGCAGAAAGCACGAATCGTCACACTGCAACAACAAAATAAAATCGGGTTAATTAAAAGTGCAATGCATTTTGTAATAAATAAAATATTTCATACCTACTGGCATGTGCAAATGCAATTGTTTACTACAAATAAATAAGTACTATTTTGCAAGAATTGTTTTCGTGCCAACTAAATACGCTTAAGAGCGAATCAAGTAAAAGTAAAATTTCATTTAATGCCTCTGTCAATGTCTTTTTCTTAACCTATAAAAAATCATATTAGGGCAATTCATATAAATGCATAAATGACTCGTAACCACGTAAATCTCGTAAACTTTACAAAATAATAAAGCACTGATGTCAATGCATGTAGGCCCTTTGTCATCCGAGCTCATTTGACATGGAAGAAATTTATAGCTTTTAAATTAAAGCGTAAAAGCCCTGGAATAAAGCTTAAATTCAATTCTAGGATATAATCGCTATTTTAAGCGTGATCATGATTATCGAGCAGTCTTAGTATAGACAGGCGGCAATATTAATCCGGATTCACGACGCATTTGATCTGATCTGTTTTGTTTTAAATATATATACACTTAAAAAAAAAGCATCACTATTGGTTTAATAAGCGTTGTGTTAAAATGAAACTTTAATTAATAATACAAAAAGTATATTGAAAAATTTTGGACTTGCGTTTTGGTTATTAATTTGATGAGAAAAAACACAAATTTTACCCTTCACCATATCAAATTGAGACCTGCATAGTAATTTTTGTTTCAATTAACAACGGAAATTTGTTCAGTGTAAGAACGAAAAATATCATTTAGATAAGATGATTAATGAGGAGAAATAGATACTCGAGAGTTTCACGTTGATGGCTAAATAGCATCGTCCTGATGACAACTTTTTTTTTTTGTGTATGCACAGTCAGTCAATAAAGTTTAGGTACAGAGATTTTTTCGCAATACGGGTAACTATTTTTTTTTTAATTTTTTTTTCCGCTATTTTTTTATAAAAAATATAGTTGATTCTACAACAAAAACCGCAAACCTTGTGCAAAATTTAAGAAGTTCTGCGAATTTTCATCCGAAAATTGCACGTTTTATTTACACTCTTTAGAAAAAAGTTGAGTATGCAGTTTTTTAGCTTTTTGGCAAATTTGTTCATAGAAGGTGTCGCTTATTTTCTCCATATCAAATAATTTTCAATCATTTTTTTATATGTTTTTTTGTTATTTTATGGCCTTATAACAATTATATTCAACAATTTTTATGAGCTTGAGGCCGTTTTAAGTGAAAACTTATTGTGGAAAAATATGTATTAAAAAATTTGGATGATAAAGCGATAAACCATTCTGCTTTATTATAATAATTGCATCAATATTATTCTATTCTCAACTGAAACATTATTTTATAGCCACTTTGCCATTAAAAATCAGGCAAGTAAAATTTTTGGTATGGAAAGCACCTCTGTTGCAAGCAAATAATTGCCAAAGTATTTTCCAACTTATTCTGAGGCACAACAAATTTGACAAAAAAAAAATACGGCCTTAACTTTGCAAGATTAGACTTAAATGAGTCATGCCTGCCGCCACTCGTTAGCCGTCCTATTGCTACCCATTGAACTCCAATTAACTTTCCAAGGTCATTCCGGCCCTACAGAAATTAGGCACGCCTTATTAAGCGGCAATAAATTGTTTCATTTGTGAATACAAAATTTTTAATATAAATAAAGCGTTAAATCGATAATAGGTTAAAAATTATTTTTAATTGTTGTTGAAAACATAACTACATACATCAATAAATTTTAATCAAAAAAATAAAGCTGTGAAAGCCAATAAATGATGAATAGTATTTTAAGTGGACAGGAAAAGAGACTTACAACAACTATTGGAAATTCAGACATATATTAATGTAAATAAATATGTGTTTGTTAAAAATATGTTCTAAGAGTAAAAATCTTATTTGTGTACATAAAACAACCTAGGTCGTTCTTTTGTCATAAGACTAGTTTACTGTAGCTGGCATGCCCACATCCGCCACACCACATCCGTCACAAATCGGAAGAGCGCCTCACTTGCCATTCAGACATATCGACTAGTGACTTTCATTTTGAATTTCCGCAGGTATTAGCTTTCTATTTGGTGTACAGTTGCTACCGTTATCCGGTCAGTTATGACAGTTATGTACAATAAGCAATTATTTTTTAAATGATTGACGTCCTTAATTGTGTACTTTGGTAAGAGTTTTCTATCGCTTTTCTAGATACTTATCTACATACATAGATATGTGTATATGTGCGTTTATTTTAATTGATGTTTTTTTACAATCCACAATTGCGGCTGTTTAGATCTGGTATGATTAGACAATTAAGATATTATCATTAAATGATTTATTAAGTAACTAATTTGTTTACGGAAAGAAATCTTAATTTACAAGGTTTTTCAAATGCTTTTTTATTTTGAATAAAATTTACTCAAAAAAAAAAAGTTATATGAAATGTCTGTGCGTAAGTAAATCACCTCAATGGAACAAAGTTCAGCAAATTCAAACGTGAAAAGTTCCCCTTTGCCATAATTGCTAATGGAAATAATATATTCATCTATACATATATAATATCAGAGCAGTTTAAATAGTGAATACAAAATGATAATTCAAGCGATTCGTGCGTTTAACGTAGACGTAAAATCACATTTATTTTTTTTAATTGAAGCCACTTATGCCATACTGTTAGCAATAAAGTGAGTTATTAAATTTTTATTCGTCTAACTCATATTTATACTACATACGTTTTAGAATTGAACCATATCAAGTGGATTAAAACGTTTACTACCCCAGCAATGTTTTTATTTATTTATATATTTTTATTCGTTGAAAACTTAATTTGTTGCGCTAAAAGTTAAAACGATTTGTTATAAAAATTTTGTAGTTGTTCTCTTCTTTCCCGTTCGCATGGGCGAGGTTCAGATTTGAGTAATACAATTATGAAAACTCTGATAACCTCAGTATCAACATCCAACAAGCGGCAACAAAAGCTTTTATTTGGGATATACATACATACACACATACATACATAAATATGTTATACGCGTGTTTTTAAAATTAGAACAAATGCCCTGCAGGGAAAGCTACTAGTTGTGAACTAGAATTCTACCAGTTTACGTTTCAGCCCAACTCGTTTTCTCGTTACATCCCTTTTCATGTTAGCGACTGGTATTTTTAACATGGCGATTTCCTGCGATATGTCAAATATCAGGCTATGCATCAGCATCTACTAGCAGAAATACTAGTAGCATCATACCAGTTGATGAGATAGTCTGCCAGCTCATCCCCCGTGAAAAGCATAAGTCTGCCACTTTGCTCGCGACCACAGTTTTCACGCGATGCCACACCCGACATTTGTAAGAAAAGCGATTAATTGCGTTTTATTTTTGGCTTTGGCAATTCAAAGCAGATGTCGATGAATGCTTAAGTTCTTTGAAATTGTCGAACTGGTAGGCCATCGCTTTAGCATATACTAGTTAATGAACTGGTATTTTTGTTAACTGGTTTGGCTTTTCACTGCAGGGTACACACATTGGTGAAAGTGTATGTACGAATATTTGGCAATAACGTTTCGGTCTCTTGGTCGAGCTTCTTATGCAAAATTTAGTGTGCTTCATGATTTTTTCACACAAATCAAGGATCTTAAAGCTTTGCGCCTCTAAAGCGACCTGCGCTTAAATAATCGTACTGATCAAATTGCATACCCAAAGCATCGTTATCCTCAAATCGAGGTGAATCATATCATTATTTAGTTGAACGACTTATGCTACTAAAAAATTGGTCTTGTGAACTCCCCTCTGTTCACTTGGATCTCCTCACCCTCACGTTACTAAAGTGTCAGTAAAAACCTTGAGACATAAATATTGCGTACACTTTTTGTAACATTAAAAAGGTAAACACGTAAAATATTTTACAGGCGGCACTAAAAGTATTTAACCACAGGTATATGGGTAACTTATTTCATTTGTCGGCATAATGGGGCGGTTACACTGGCGGTAAGTCACAACATCAAATATTTTTATGATGCGGTAGCGCCTAAACGATGAATGAAAAGTGACGTCGCACTTGAAACGTCAAAGACAGAAAAAAAGGAACAAAAAAGAAATAAGACGAAAACCGCAGCCAAGTACCAGCGACACAAAAACAAACAATAAATATGTATATGTATGACTGTCAGACAAAACGAGCAGAGAGATAGTTTAGATGACAAATGCACAAAAACACAGACAAAAACGCTGACAAAAGCTGACAATAGGCGAGTGTAAACAATAATAAATACATATTTGAATATAAAAATGCGTGATAAGATTTAATTTACACTTACCTCTACACAAGACAACCACAGCAAAAACAACAACAAATACAACGGAACGGCAACGGAACTAAACAGATCTTTGCTGTTCAAAGCAATTGTAAATATGGGAATTTCCGCACCGCACCTTTGAGCCTAAGCATCGCATCAGCGTGCATGGTGAATGAAGTCTGTTGCTGTTTAGTGGTGAACTTGACATTCAACTTATTGTGTGATGAACCACACAGTACCTGTGAATAAATAGTGGGTTAACGGCTTTGATGCATTGAATTAGGCAAACACTGCCATCGGCGATTGCACAAATCAAGTCACAAACATTGAGTGACTTACCTTGACTTTGGCAGCACTTGCGCATTGTGTTGTAGTTTTGATGTACATACATTCATACAAACAAATGTATGCTACTATTATAGCACAAGGTACAAATTTTTCATGTTTGAAGCGGGTCAGTCTCGACCCTAAGTTTTTCTGGAAAGTAGATATTGCAGAGCGGAGAAGGAAGAAGGAAAGCGCTCAATGCACTCCACGCCTGCAAGAGTACAATTGGAAAGGACTGGGGGCTATGGCCGCAGATAATGTAATGGGTATAGCTGTCGCTGTGATGTAGTGGTTAACAGTGCGCGCTACCATTCGGCAGGGTCTGGGTTCAAGCCCGGGTCAACTCAACATTTGAGATAAAAATATGGAAAAATGTAGGTTCGAACGCTGCCATAATGGCCTACAAGGAAAAAGTAGTTCCATTATAAAATCATTATATAAAAACCCCTCAAAAACTTGGATGAAAAATTAACCTTCGGAATATAATTAATACTTTGCTGGCTAACTCGAAGAAAAAAATTTTGGTATTTGATTTATGCACTTTCCTTGTCGATTTTCGACAGAATAATGTAAATTTGTTGTCAAAAGCTGACTAAGAAATCTTCTGGATGCTTATTTTTTAAATTGCAAAGTTGTTGCATCTAAATTTTCAAATTTAAAGTGAAATTTTTTTTATCGCATTCCCTTCCATACAAAGTAAATTCGAAATTATTTTTCTATCAAACGAGTAGTTTTCATTTGACTCACGAACTATGTGTCCTCAAAAGCATGATAAAAATATAGTAAGGTAGAACCGCTGAGAGTCTCTTTTAAAATTCTTGACGTTTCCAAACAATTTAATTTTTAAATTTACTCACAAACTCACACACACATTTTCATTTTCAATCTCAAGCAACAACAATTTCGAACCATTTAAATTTTTTATTTTCACTTTTATATGATTTTAAAATGTTGGCAAACTTCAAAAAAAAAATCATGGCCGACAAATTGAGAGAACGGTTCTACCTTGCTATGTTTTTATCATGCTCAAAAGTTACTTTTCCCACCCGTCACAAAATATTGTCTCAACCGTCGCAAGCTAGAAGTGGTTTTTTTTTTATTTTCAAGCATAAAAATGCCATCAAAGCATAAAATCGAGCATTAACTACATATGAGAATGGCGCTATGAATGAAATATTTATAGTTTGTCTAAAATTGAGGAACGAATCCATAAACTCAGAGAGGCGGGTGTCATCGTTGTCCCACCCATCGCTGTTGGAAAAGGCCAAATTCTGAAAAATATGATTAAAAATCTAAAAATTTAGACGCAACTTTGCATTTGAAAAATGAGCATCTAAAAGATTTTTTAGTCAACTTTTGACAACAAATTTGAATATCTCGGTTGATTTTTTGTTGGCGCTGGCCAGCAGAGTATTCATTTTTTTTTTAAGCTCATTTTTCAGTAAATTTTTTCGGGGGTTTGAATATAATGATTTTTTGATGACGCTATTTTCTCTCGTAGGTCAGCTTTTTAACTCATATTGTTCCATATTTTTATCTTTTTCCTATCGAGATATTTACGGTTTTGTCCATCGACACTCCCAAGTCGAAAACTATGCGGCGATAGGCCTGTTCTTTCCTATAACGTGTCGCTGTGGTGGGCTAAAGTGCCTTAGATTTGGGCCATCTAAAAGTCTGCCTATAAGTGGCAGGAGCCAAACTTCGATTCTGAACAAAGTCGGGGTAGAGTACAGAAGTTACGATTAACAAATAACGATTGTTACCTTTAGCCGCAATTTCGAAATCTACTTTCCCGACAGAAGTTACTGGGAATTTGGTATCGTTCTAAGTGATTACGAGATCCCGTTCTTTAAATATGGCTCCAGAATAGACACTGGGACAGGAACTTAGCTGCAGCATATATTTGGCTGAGATATTTGCAATTGACATGGCGACGAGGCTAGTAAGCGTAACTGGCCCAGCTCGATTAAAACTCGCCTTCCTTGGGTAGGTAACTAAATCGGTATACTACCTTCAAGAAACCCGACAATCCATATAATCTCTTCGCCAGCATATAGTTTAATCTTCACTGGGTCCCTTGAAAAAGTGGCATTACGGAAAGCGAGGATCGACAACGAACTAGCGGTACTCCTAAATTTTTTTATGACCATCGATGTTGGTTGTGTTTTTTGATTAAAAATCGCTTGTTAATAATCCTATGCTATGCAAACAATAACTGTGTTTTCTATTTCTTCTTTCATAATTAAATTACAGAGAAGACATGCAGAAGGTGAATGTACATTTCTACGATAATCAAACAGTGTCATATCAGCACAAGAAAATTCTACAATTCGTTCCCGAATTGAGCATAGACAAGAATACTCCGATAGTCACACCTAATATTCCTTTATTGGTTAGTTAAATAATACATTTTCTAAATACATGCAATCGCTTACCTCGTTCTTCATCCGCAGACTCTTACTAGTCTCAGTCCAAAACTTGGTTACCTGCTCTCAAAGACCATTTCTGTGGTGCTAACAGCAGCCAAGTTCAAGCCTTTCATCAATGTGACCGCCGATCAGTTGGTATTTGGCTATGATGACGCGCTCGTTAGCCTTGCGCATCGATTTTATCCAAAACATTTGCGTCCAATGGAGCGTATGGGACTGCTCATTGCGGTAAGCAAAAAAAACAAGATCTTAATGCTCGACTAATAACTCCATCGATTCCTTATGCAGCGCAATGGCACACTAACCGAAGTCTCAACAATCAAAACTGGACACCATGGCATGGAAGAATTCGGTTATATAGATCGCCTCAATGGACTCGATCACTTACCGCACTGGCACAATCCACCCTGCAATCGTATAGCCGCCTCGGAAGGTTCCTTCTTTCCACCGCGCGACATAACAAAATCGGATATGGTGTACCTCTACGACAAGGATTTGTGCCGCGTCATACCTTTGCAGTACCAAAGAGGCGTACAAAAAGATGGTAAGTGTGACCTATTCTTGGACACTAATGTATGTATGTATTTGTGCTTGCAAACATTTAGGCATCGGCGCTGATCTGTACATCTTGCCGGATAATTCTTACGGCGATTCATCGACCAACCCGGAAAACGAATGCTTCAATCCAAGTGACTACGAGGCGAAGAAGGGTCTACAAAATATCAGCCCCTGCCAATACGGCGCGCCTGTCTATATATCCAATCCACATTTTTACCAAGCCGATGAGTCGTTGCTGGACTCGGTAGTGGGACTCAAACCGAATAAGAGCGTACATGAAACATACTTCAAAATTCAATCGGTGAGTAAAAAGTGTTCAAAGGACAAGTCATTTGATTCTTTCCTAGTAAATGACCGTCTGGTTTCCTTCAGAAATTGGGTGTTCCACTCGAAGGCAAAGTACGCATTCAACTCAATCTCAAGGTGACACGAGCGAAAGATGTGTATCCGGTTAAGGATTTTCGGGACTTTGTGTTTCCCATCATGTGGCTAGAAGAAGTAAGCTTTGAAGAGACCTCTCACGTATCGCTTCGCTTCATCACTCATACATATGTACATAGTTATATCTACGGCGTTTAATGCTTCAAACGTTTAGTAATCGAGTCATTTGAGCTGCTCCTACACACCATAGCTATGACATTCTATACACACAATTATTTTTGTATTCGATTTCGTTCAAACATGTCCACCTTTTCAGGGCATCTCCGAGCTAACGCCTGCCATCCGTCGGTGGATCTACTTGGCCACCGTATTCGCGCCCATCATCATACCGATCTCCTCGTATCTGATGATCTTTGGCGGTGCGTTCGCCATTGTGTTTATCTTCGTGCGTGCCTACCAAAACTTCGTGTTCGCGCGCGATCCCACCCTGGAGATTCTGGAAATGGGTCGCCGTTCATTGCGGCGCGGCAGCAGCTTTATTGCGCAGCATCAGCACAAATTCATGCATCGCGACAGCTATACGCTGCTGAAGACGGTGCCGGGAGACTTGTTGGACGACACAGAGGATGCGATACCGATCATGACGAATAATAGTTCATAGTATTCGCCAGCAACTGAAGTGAAATTGAACGATCCATCAATCGAGTCTCATACACACACACATAGTATGTACATACATACGTTTGAGTGATCGTCTTTCGAATTTAGTTGTTAATTTCGTAGTTTTTTTTAAGTCAAGTGTGAGAATTATTTATGAATGAGAATTATGATATGTATGTATGTATGTATGTATTTTGAGGAGCGTGTGTGTCGTATATTTAAATAAGGAAATGGCGTACAACGAAGATGATAACAACAACAACAAAAACAAGAACATGTGATTTAAGTTATTACTTCGTAGGAGTTTCTAGTTTAGTGTAGTGACTTTGAGTTGAATTTTTAAAATACTTTTTGTTGGATGAGCTGTTTGTTTGGTTCTCTCTTTGTGTGTGACTCTTTGTGAGCGTGAGTCTGCAGCCTTTAGTGCGTTTTAGCTCTAATTTTTCAACAATTTCATATTTAGTTAAGAACTTGAAGTTGGTATTGTATGTACACAACTACATATACATACATATAGTGCGGTGTTTAGCTTTTCTTTTCGTCTTTTTCTTCCTTTACGTATACCTACTCTACTTATGCATATACTAAGCGACTTTCCAGGGTTAGTGGTAAACATAGTTGAGCTTAAGTGCGCAAATATTCACATACAGACAAACGAACCGCAACGCAACGATTTCAGCGCACTTGCATACGGACAGACAGACAAACAGACAGCGTACTGTTAAGAATTAATAAAACATATTTTTGGTAATAAATGGAAATGGAATTTGTACAAATTTTAATCAAAGAATATGAAATAGACTCAATAAATTTAAAAGATGTGACAAAAATTTTGGACTAAACCTTGCGAAATTCTAGCTCATCATACACATATAGTACAATAGTTTGTAAAAATTTTTGACTTTTGGAAAATTATGAAACACAAGTTGCTGCGACAAAACCAAAATGTACTGTTATTGTCCAAAAACCAAATTCAACTACTTTTAAATTTTTGTACATACATACGTGTACTAGATATTTAAATATATACAGATATTTATATATATAATTGTATATGTAGTATCATAAGTACTAACACATACACACACATAATATACATAATCTGAAATTCTATTTTTGTATGTGCGGGGATCTTCCATTACTCTTACATTTAGACTTAACTAGTTGTTAATTTGATTAGTTTTAAATACATTTTGTTGTAAGATGGAAAATATATTTTTAAAAGCTTATTTTTCAAATTTATTTCACTAGTCATTTTTACGACACAAAAATGAGAGCAGATTATTATTCATAAGCAGTTTTAAGTGTTTAGATGATTTTTTAAAGTTTTATACAAAAATATTATATGTGTGATACATATTTTATGCATAGTCAATTGAATTTAAACTTAAGCAAAGTATTGAGGAATAACGTCGAAATGCAATATTTGTGAAACGAATTTTTTTGTTTTAGGCGAATAAATTTTTATACTTAAAATTCGAAAGATAGAGGGTTTTATTCTCAAACTAGGAAAATATACCTAGAATTAAGAAGCAATAGGGGTATTCATCTAAACTCCGTAATGCCTCCGTAACCACGTAAACCTCGTAGACTTACTTAATTTTGTATGGAAAACCGGTTTCATTACGAGGTTTATGCCTTTACGAGGTCTTTAAGCGTTTAGATGAATACCCATAATATAGTAAAAAATATACACTAAAGTCTGGAAGCCTGATATCGTCGTAATATTGCTACTTTTTCAGTCCAGCGAATTGAGTTGAGCCAGAGTATTGACTTTCTACTTATAAGCTACTCCGTGTTTCAAACTATGGGTTATAGAATCCCAGAATAATCAGCCAGCATCATTCATCGATTCCCGCTGATAGCCTCTTACTGTTATTATCTATACTAATATATATTTTGAAAGCCTTTTTTTGTGTTCACAAAACTCGAGAACGCCTGAACCGATTTTTTTGAAATTTTGGAAACCTGCCGCATACGTCCCAAGGATGGTTATAGGCTAAAAAATTCGATGAAAGGGGGCGTGCCACCTCCCATACAAACTGACTATTTCATACTGCAGATCTCTGGAAGTGTTCATGGTAGAGCTCTGGAACTCGGTATATCAATCGCATATCTCTGGAAATGTTCATGGTAGATTACTGGAACTTGGTATTGAGGTATGTGAAATCAATCGCACACTCTTGGAGGAAAATTAGAGCTATTGGTAAAGGGGGCGTGGCACATCCCATACGAACCGAATTTTTCCCGCTGAATACCTCAGGAGGTGTTCATGGTAGAGTACTGGAACTTGGTATGGAGATATATAAAACAAATCGCTTACTCATGGAGAAAAATGGGGCTTTTACTTATCTTCGAATGTAGTAATAATTCTTCTGTAGGTGTGTTTGGGGGGAAATCCTACTAATTGGGTGTCCGGATTTTATCAAAATTTTTTGTCTGTGTTTGAGTGGGTCCCTAGGTGATTTAGTTTTACAGTTTAACCCCACAGTTGGCGCTGTTGTTGAGTTATTACTAAAAATCTTATTTATGATCCGATTTGGCTAATATTTAAAATATGTATTGGCAACGGTAAGAGCAATACTATTGCAAAGAAGTGCTGCCAAGTGGCGCCGGAGTCGAGTTATTACTAAAAATAGCCAAGTGAGAGAAGTTGCCGTGAATGCTGGATTAAATCGATCTGTTGCGCCATTGAGTTTATCGAACTCTCCTGTGTGAAATATTACATCGATGCATCAGATCGAAAAAACATTTTTATGGCTTGCATCCCTAAGGCAAATGTGGTACCACACACAGTGAAGCCAACTTTAGTTAGAAAGAAGAAAGTAGCACAGTTTATTTTTTGCAAATACGGACGGAATTCGATTTTTTTCCAGAAAAAATCGATTTTAGCCGAATTTTAGCACCACCAAGTTCCATTCCAGAAATCGCCATTTTGAAACTAAAACTTGATTGAAATTCGAATCTCGAAGCTTCGAATATCGAATTTACCCATCCCTACTAGCTACTTTTTGAAAGTTGTTTTATTTTCTGACTTTGTGTTGAGGAGAGTAGATTGTGTTGCTTTGAATTAGGTAGCAGGACTAAAATCGCTGCCGTACCATATTTAGTTCGGTAAAGACTTGCGAGTTCGCTCTCGAGATAACTTTGAGTGCTCGGTTTGGAATGGCATCGGAACCCAGAGATTTTCAAACAATAAAGAGCATCTATATTCTCTACTGCAGTGATTTGATGGAACCTTGAAGTACTCCTGGGAACTTTTTCTCTGCTCCAATGCTATTTAGGTTTTCGTCTCATTGCCTTCTTCGAAGAACTAAAAAATGATAATTAAAAGGTAACAATGACATTAGTTTTGATATTTTCGAATCATTCTATTAGATCTACGTGCTGCAGATTACCAATTCAAATATTTTTTAGATTATCACTGCAGTTAGATTCTAGAAAATGGACGCAATTTATCGTACAATAAAATATGTGGCACTTGCTATGTATTTTAATTGTTGCAAAACAACAGAAAAATACAATATTTAATTTTCTCTTAATCTCAGCTCTTAATCTCACTACATACATTGTCATTGCTGAAACAAACAAAAAATCCAATTCACCTGAAAAGTTTTGCATTTTGTGTTTTGCAACTTTATGAAAAGTGCAGTTTTACGCCTTAAAGGTTTCCATTTAAGTGAATGTCAGAAACAGAAATTGCATAAAATGAAAATGGAATATTTCTCCACACACAAAGCCACAGACATTTCAACGGGCGCTCCTCCCTTCTGCTGATATATGTATGTATGTATGTAGGTGTGTATGTTTGTATGAACGCGTATGCACATATATGGCTCATGTGTGCGTTTGTATGCAAAAAAAAAGTTTTTCTTCATCTTAAAATTCCCAGAAATTCTGTTAAAGAAAAAAAAAACAAGTCGTAAATTGGGTTCACTTTTGTTAAGTTTTCAAATAGCTGCCCCCACCTCCTGAGTTTAGCTGAAGTTGATAAGTGCATCATATATAAAATTTAGAGAAACAATAATTCTCATTCAACTACAAACAGTAGAAAACGGAGAAACTCACACTCACACATACACACACACACACCAACAAAAGTGGTCAACTGCGTAAAAAAGTTAATTTATCGGCACTAAAGCGAACAGCTAAGCGAGAAAACAACGGAAAAAGTAATAAAACAAACAATTGTAAACATCAAAAAGGAACGTCAATCAAAAGCTTCAAAACATTTCGCAGTTCCTTCAAATTATAGTTTCACACAATATAACCAAAGGGGCCAACAGGGCACAGTGTCGCTAGAGGAGCGCGCGGCATCGCTCACTCACTCACGAAGTGCTGCAAATCACGGTTTCAAGTATTTAGACCCCATTCACACACATACACAACCCGGTTGGTTACACCACTCTGTACCGCCCACTTGCTACTGACCGCTCGCCCGCCTCCATCCAATGCCCACCACACATCGCTCGCTCGCTCGATCGCCATGTGGCGCGACAACATATGGCGCTGCTGGCCACTGCGGCAAAGGGCCTTTTCACCAACTTTGCAGATGAAGATGAAAAAGTACTCCTGGGCAAGGAAAAGAAAATACAGATTTCGCAAATAAAAAAGAAATGCTAAACGGCGAACGTAATTTTCCGAAGTGAATTGAAGAAATATGCTGGCACAAGTTAAAAATTCGTAAATCATATTTCAACGGAGCAAATCAAAGCGGCCAAAGCTGAGTGGATTCGTCGTAGTACATACATTTGTGTAGAAGGTAGTGTGTGCNACAAGGACTATGCTGGTTTTTTTTTTTTTTGGCCGTCAAAGGACCGCTGCAGCGCCACTCTTATTACACACACAATTCAACTGACCTCTCAGCATGGAGCGGAAGTTGTAAAATAAAAAAAAAAAACAGAATGCCAAACAATTGACGCAGCAGAGGGAAAATGAAATAAAAAGAGACATAAAAAGTAAATGAAAATATGCATGCGGAGCAAGTAACGGGAAAAGCGGCTCACACACTTCATTTGCCCATAACGGAAGCTTTGTATGTACATAGAAAGGGAGGATGTATGTAGGAGCATTTTTGTGAAATCATTTCTTCCTGGATCCTTTTGAAAGTTTGCAAGTGCGAGTATATAAATGAAAACAAGTGAGGAAATTTTTTTTTTTTTTTTTGGCAAATATGATTCAACGACGCTCTCAAACCATTCGATATACATAAACCATTTGGTATTTCTGCGCAATCAAAAGCTAAGCTACGTGTCTATGCGTTTTTAATGATGTTGATGTGAATATTTGCTCTTTTGAAATCATTTTTTTCTTTGTTATAGAAAAGCTTTCTTGTTTTTTAAGTTCTTTTGTTAATCGACTTCGTTAATTCAAGTGGTCATTTGGTGAAATTTCGTTTTGTAAAAATTAATTACGCAAGTGTTGTAAATAAATTAAATCACGGATATCATTTTAATCTCTCTTTCGACATTTCTCTAGGAAAGATGGAATATGTCAACAGCAGATGTTGGCATGGACGAACGGTTGGGATGGGTCTTCGTTCGTTGCCACATACTTGAATATTTATCCCTTAATTTTAACAAATACAGTTATCGGGGATAATTACGCTGACGTGCGTTTTTGCAGTTTTGCTTTATACATACTTAAATATTCTTACTTACGTAATAATTAAATATGCCAGCTTATAGTTTAAGCTGATTGGTTCATTATGCCCTCAACTGCATAAACAATTGTATGGCTAAAAGGACTCAGGAAATATTTTTTTGTTTCATTGCCACTGCTTTTGCATGGTGACATGAGTGCCGTGTTTGACGAAGAAATAATGTATAGAGACGAGCCAAAGGCTCATTCGCTTGACACACTTTAGAGCGATTTCTTCAATCTGATATGGGAAATAGTAATACGAGTTGCCTATCTGAAAGGCAGCGGCACCATTTTAAGCAAACACATGAGGCATATAATATCAGCAACGTCTACCTCAACATTAGGGCCGTCAGTTCAGAATTTTCAGATTAAAGAAAAAGGGTCTAGAGGTGAAAGATAAAAAAATGCAATGATTTACATGTTTGAAGCAATGATGGATCCAGCATTAGCGCCACCAATACTATCAACCTCTAGAGTAGGTAATTTATCTCTTTCTCTACGCACAAAAATTAGGCTCTAAAAGTCCCTCATCATGCCCCTCTTTTTTATATGACACAGCAACGTAAATGATGTCTGAGGAAATGGTGAAGGCTTTGGATCTTGGATATAATAAATTTCGAACTAAAACTTCTAAACCTCCATACACATTGAGTTCATTCTGGATATCGAACTGCGCAATCCCAACTTGATATGAAATTAATTGTAATTAAACATTTCCATTTATCAACAATAAGCTACATAATTGCCACAATACAATAAACGATAATAATAAAACTTTCCTGCTGAATGTCAAAAACCAAAATATATCA